CAACCCCCCCCCCCCCCCCCCATTTTTCCAGGCATGGTCTCATCTTAGCTGCAAAAAAAAAATTTCTTTAATTAATTTTTAGCTATTAGCAATAAAATCGTTTGGGATTCCCCCCCGCCCCGGGGTTTCTGCACAGGATGGGGGCTTCCTTCATCCCCTCCCTCCGTTCCGTCCTTAGTTAATCACTCCTCAAATTGCCGATTTATGCAAAAAGCTGTTGCTAAACCCTGGGGTTTTTTTTATACCCCGTTCTAAGAAGTGTGAATCACTCGGACAGGAAGGCTGTTCCCTGCTGTGACTCAGCCGGCATGTACCGAACAACCTCTTTCGCCCTTGCTTTTTCGGGGAGGTTTAAGGCAGAATAAGTCAACGAGGAGTTTGATTAATTCCAGGGGGGACAACGGGTGTGTTTTTTTATACCCCGTTCTAAGAAGTGTGAATCACTCGGGCAGGAAGGCTGTTCCCTGCTGTGACTCAGCCGGCATGTACCGAACAACCTCTTTCCCCCTTGCTTTTTCGGGGAGGTTTAAGGCAGAATAAGTCAACGAGGAGTTTGATTAATTCCAGGGGGGACAACGGGTGTCCACAAGCGGAGGGTTTGGGGGCTACAGGCTGACACTCGGCTGTTGGCAGTCCTACCTACCCCTCAACTTCTTTGTTATCCCAAGATTTCCGGGCAGCAGATTAACGACGCAATAAACTCGGCAAACGCCTACGCTGCCATTTGGCGTTTGACACACACACCCCCCACCCCCGCTGTGGGTTCAGTGCGCCTGACCCCACCACAACGCCTGTAGCCAGAGCGTCGCAACCGTTAATCACGGTGACAGACCGTTGATTTTTATTGACGGGGCAGGAAAATAAAGCGGCTGCCTGTATGCAAATAACAGCCCGTGCGGGATTAAGGGGAGGAGGAAGGGCAGAGAGAAAGGTTTAACCTTAGACGTAACCGAGAAAACCAATTTCCCAGCACACGGAAAAAAAAAAACAAAACAAAACACACAGAAAGTGGAAGTAAGAAGGAAAATAGAGAGAGGAATTCACCTGGCCCCTGTTTTTGGACAAACCACGCTTGCCGTGGGGTACGCGGGCAACCTTGTGTCTGCCTCACCACCCTGCAGGATGAATTTTGAGATCTCTGGTCGATTTAGGTTTGATAAAAAGGGAAAAGGGCTCCAAAATTTAAAATTTCTCCATGAATTTCTAGAGGAAAAAGAAGCTGGGGGAGGTTGGTTTTGGGGCACGGCAGTTGTGCCGGCACCAGGCGCTGAAACCATAAATACCCGTAGGGAATCTCTATGGAGGTTTGAGATCTGATGGGGAGGACCCTCATTTCATCCTCCCCCAACCCTCATCCCTCTTTCCTTGTCACCTCCTCCCCGCATCCTCCATCCTCCCCAGCCCGCCCCAC